ATAAGAATTTCTAAGTATAAAATAGTACTTAACAAAATCTGTTATTTGAATTAGTTTTTGTACGATCTTGCTGTATAGAAATAAGCTATCGAATTTTAAAATTAAAAAAAAAATGATAAGCATACTTTTTTTAAGAAAATTCTAAATCCATTTTTGCAAATTTATTAAAATATATAATACATGTATACTACAGTATTATATATATTATTACAATCGGTTCAATTAATAAAACAGTTTATGAATCGACTTCTTTAACTTTCATGAATGAAACCACGTGTACAAGTTTATGAATGAAATATTTTTTTCTCAATTTGCTGATTCGATAATGAAATGCACTCATTAACATATTTAATGACACCTTTGTAACCTGAGAACATATTTACGCATAAACAAAATTGCGTATGTTAACATAGTTTCGAAAATTAAATAATTTGCATTTATTGAAGTGCGTTGATAATAATTCTACATTTATTCAAGATTCAGAAAAAATATTTATAAATTTGAATTCCAAAGTCTGATTTAACTAAGCACTATAAATTATTTGTATAGACCTATTTACAATATATAAATCAGTGTTATAAATAGCAATTACAACCAATTAGATTAATTATACGACAAGACGTGCATCAGTCATTCTAATCAGGTCAATGTTAAATAAGAAGATAATTCTAATCAATTTTTATATAAATTTTTATACTTCAGCTTTTTATCTTGGTGAAAATAAATTATTTTAAAACACGTGCGCAAGTAAAAGCGATATTTTTAATGTAGTACTACGCCATTGGGACTATAAAGTTTTTATCGCATAATTGGCATCGTAAAAGTTTCTTGAAAAATAATTTGAATTATTATTGAAAATTAAACAATAGAGAACGATTCTTGACAAATTGAACGTATTTTTGACCTCCACATCTTAATCGATTTTAGAAAAAAATAAAGTGATCTGACGTGGTAAAAACTTGGTCTAGCAAGTTGGCACTTGTTCCCAAATCGATACCCTACCAGACCTGCTTGATATCAAGCAGTAGGGTATTAGACTCTCATATAACAAATAGTGAAATGAAAATAGCTCTTTGGATCATTTTTGCAAAAATATTTAAGTCAACTACTAGAAAGGACAACTACTGGGTTTTCTTCCAATTTGTCAAATAAGCAAAACATGTAGAGAAATATGAATCGTTGCTGGCATTTAAAAAACATCCTTACCCATAATGATATTTATTACAAACATTTCTTACCAACTATTCGAACAATTACATCTCAACTTTGTTTATTTTAAATTTCTCCAAATTCATCAACTAATGGAATATTCCTTTCCTCTCAATTCTTCAACAAAAAGTTTACAAAATTCCATAAAATATTTGCATGAGAAACAATGTATTGTACATCGATTCAGTTTCGAATAAATATTTATGAAGAGGCATAAAAACGATGGCAGTTACATTTTATAGACAATTCAATAGTATTTTCCATAAAGTAAAATGATTCTGGGCAGGAAATAGAAGGAAAAACAAATTTTGTAAATGTTTTCATAAATGTTGGTGCAGATGAACTGGAGAGGAAATGTGATGAATTAATTGAAATATACTGATCTAGATGATTTTTGTAATAGATTTTTTGGTTGAAAATGAATAATTTTAATTGATATCGTCTAAACTTTGAACAATATAAATGATAAACTTCAGTCAACATTTATTTGAAGTTCAGAAATTTCTCAGACAATTTTTGCAAACTAGCGTCAAGGTAGTAATCATCCATTTTAATGCAATAATATTCTGAAATCGACATGCGTTGTTCGATTAAAGTTTAAAGTCCATGAATAATGCATATTTACGTACAACTTTGTCTAAATGCAGACATTTCTACATATTTATTTATACGACCTTCCAATCATTCAAATAAAGCATCTCAAGAAACGATTGCAATAAAATCAATAAAATAAAAGAAGATTGTTAAAACATTAAAATGATGTTATTATAAAAGCTTTCATAATACTAAGTAACAAATGATATATCATTCAGAGAAAGAAATGTAAGTGCCAAGATACATTTTCAAATGGCACTACGATGAGAAATTGCTGAGTATAAAAATAAAGGCAACATAAATGTGAAGTAACTTGGACTTCATTAAATAACTCGGGCAGAAACATCATCGTAAAATGACTGAGTGAGTTATTAAAGTGCTTATAAATACATACAACATGTATAAAAAATATTCATGAAAGAAACTGTAGTGTATTATTGAAGATATAAAGGCCATTAATGGCTGGAAATCAAGATTAATATTAAAATGGAAATGTACAATTGAAGAAAAATTTTCCATGCTAAATATTTTCTTTAGTATGTTTCGAATCGAATAACATTTCCATTTATTGCTTAATTTTTAATTTATTCTCAAACTATCGACTTGATCAATAAGAATTGAGATTTAGCAACTTTTACAATTGTGACGATATAATTTTGAAATTTTGACATGGCCCATTATTATAAACTTTAATGAAATTTCATAATTAAAACACTTTTTGTCCCTATGTTCGTTAACACCATTATATCTATCATCATAAAAAGTTTCATAAAAATTTAAAAGAAACTAGTGAACTTCTTGTACTGAATTAAAACTTTGAAAATTAATATTCGATATTCAAAAAAATAAATGTATTTCAAAAAAATTTTTCGCCCACAAGCAGAAAGTTTTTTGAATCATTCAAATCGGATGCTTATTTCTATCAAAAACTGCAATTTTTTGCACATTTAGCTTCGTATCTCCGAAACGGCTGAACCTGCCTTTGCCAAAAACTAATAACCCCTTCTTCCGATCATTATTAATTGAATGTTTTTTAGATCATTCAAATCGGATGCTCCGTTCTCTCAAAAACTCGATTTCTATTTTCTGCACTCTTTGCTCTTTATCTCCGTAATTGCTGGACCTGCCATTGCCAAAAACTAATCAGCTCATCTCCCTATCAATAGGAATCGATTTTTTCTTGAATATTCAAATCGGTTGTTCCGTACGCCCGAAAACGTGACTGGAAATTTGTATCCATACATATATATACACACACACACATCCATTTTTTCTGAGATATGCCAAAATGTTCAGAAAGCTTCAAAACGTCGAGAAATGTAAAAATTTTCAATTTTGATTTTTGGACGATTACAATAACTTACCCTACGGGAAGTTAAAAAAGAAAACATAAAATTAGCAAATCTGATTTCCTGGCGAAAACAAACTTTACCTTTGGAGGGTCAACAAAAATTGGATGCTTTTTCCTTAACACCAATTTTGTATCATTATTAAAATTATTATTGGTACTTCTTTTTTCCTTTAACAGCATTTGTAGCTTTGTATTTTTTTTAAACAGCAATCAAAGCTACCTAAAATTGCTTGTTTTATATACTGTACTATTTCTCGAGGAGGCAACCCAGTGGTTAGCCATTCTCCTGGAGGTTGCGAATGCACGTTCTTTACAACGACAGACTATAATATAAAAATTAGCTACTGGAAAAAATAATTTCAAAAGCTGCGACGTAATTTACGAGTAACATTGTAAATAAACCGACCATGTTGCTCCTCGAATCTAATAATAACCCTTCTGCATCGTAATTACACAAGCGCTTATGCCAGTTTAAACGAAAGATTATACATACAGAGGTTTGTGTTCATTTTTATCGTTTGACATCTGTCCTTAGCCAGTGCAGTACATCAGAGATATTAAATAAAATTAATTTGCTTAGAGCCTTGAAATAAGACTTTAATGAGACCCGGGTTAGTGACCCCCTTGGCCTTGACTGATCGGATTATCACAATGAGAAGATTCCCAACAGATCTCATAGAATTAAACTCGTTCTGGTGGATAGAAGTTTTATAATTACGTCTTAATCGATGCATTCAAATAAATATGATTTGATAAATAAATATCGTATTGTATCAAACGTTTCAAATGATAATATATTCCTAAAGTAAATATTTTTTGATTGGAGACTTCTGTTAGATCTATGAATGGTGAATGATGAATCAATTTGCTTGTTAGTTAAACTTGTTCTGGTTTGTGTGATTTGTGAAGAGTTGATATATATTGAAGCTTTTCTCTTCAAAATTGAAACATTTCATTTAATTATTGAACAACCAATGCGTCGAAATAACATATTAATTTTATGGTCCAGTTCATATATTTGAGAGAGGGCTCCTAACGTCACGTTCATTATTACATGATAATTAATAACATAAATATTTTTGAATGTATTATGTATTACTTTATGATGTTTATCAACTTGTTGAAGACTGCGCGATAAAAATTGATAAAACCCTGAGATAAAATATTTTAGAGTTATATCATACCATATAGTAATTAATATTACCACATTTTCTATATTTAAAACATTTCAAAACAATTTGTATCATATCTATAAATAGAAAATTTATTATAATATCATAATAGTTAAAAATAAATAATCTCTCGAAATCAACAATCTCAACGTTAAGAAAATCAATCAAAATATCGTACATCTTGATATCAATAATTGGTACTCTTGAATATTTACAAGTGTTAAAAAGATAGCGATTTAAATTAATCTCTGAAGTGATGATAAAAAGTAGTATAAGTTTTGCAAAATTCAATTAACTGCTTTATTTTTGAAAGCGACGTCCAAGACGAATCGGCCAAATTTATTCCAGACGTATTTCGTATTTGTGGTCGCGAATTCGAATATTTTATGTACATTTCTTTTTGTGATCATACTCATATTGTTCAACCAAGCGTTGCGGAGATCTGTTTTATTTATGATATGGTTCGATATTGAGACATAAAACTCGATGGAATTTCACCTTCGATTTATGTAGCTTCTGTAATAGAATCTTTCCATATTTTCCATAAAATGTCACGAAAACTTATTAAGTTTTATTTTCACAACGTAGTGCTACTGGTAATTTTTTACAATGCATGAATGCAGATATAAATAAAAAAAACAAATGTGATTATAATTGTCTATTTTTTGTTTTAGAATTTCAATTCCCAAAATGGACCAAGAAGCCTTTGAAGCCTTGGCAGACTACAACCTGCAAGAAGTGCCATTCTACGAAGCGCCCCGACCGTCAAAACTGCGTAAAACAGTCACCTTCCTACCTTCATACACCCAAAATGTTGAAGACCCCACAATCAATATGATCCTGAAAGAAGAACCCGAGGAGATCACTCAGCAACGTGGAATTCGCAAAGTGCCTTCATTAAATGACCTCTCCGACGAAGAAGCATCTCTGGAACTTCCTGCCCAAGTTCCGCCGTTAACCCCGGGAACAAATAAGAAAATGTCAGAAGCCTTGAAAGCCTCATTTGCATCGTGGGAGAAAGAACAGAAGTTTTTATGTATCAACAAAGACCCCAGGCAGTGGACAGAGGATCATGTCGCGCATTGGCTAAAATGGGCTGCAAAAGAGTTCTCTTTAGAAGGTATTTCAATTCAATCTTTCCGCATGAGAGGGCGTGATATGTGCGCTTTGGGAAGAGAGAACTTCTTGGCCAGAGCACCTCCTTTTACTGGTGAAATTTTGTGGGAGCATTTAGAAATCCTGCAGAAAGACTTAGAAACTACGACATCTTTACAAAATGTGCCGTCTGATATTTATGAATCAGTTTGTGCACCTGATATGTCTTCCTTCCTACAACAAGCACCAAGACCACAAAGGATGTACCCAGAACCAATCCAATCGCCTTACCACCTGATGATGCCCATGCATAGAGGGTATCCTTTGAAGGAAGAAGCTGCAGCTTATGGCTTACGAACTATTGATGACTTATGTGCGGTTTCTAATGAATATCAGCCACCAGCTGCACACATGAAAACTAACATGTATCAACAACATCCATATCCTGAGCCAACGAGAGGAGATTTTTATAACATGCAAGAAAAATATTTCCAGAAACAAACAAATCCTTATCAACGCTACCCGGATCCTTATGGCTTTCCATCTCCTCCATCAGTGCCTTATCAACAACCTGGACCAGAACCAACATACACACAGCTACCTGAGAAACCAATGAACCAATTTAACAACACAAGTGGACCTGTTCAAGGGCCATGTTTTACTGGATCAGGTCCAATCCAATTATGGCAATTCTTATTAGAATTGTTGACTGATAAAACTTGTCAAGCATTTATTTCATGGACTGGTGATGGCTGGGAGTTCAAGCTGACAGACCCAGATGAGGTGGCAAAACGCTGGGGAATAAGAAAGAATAAACCAAAAATGAACTATGAAAAATTATCGAGAGGTTTGAGGTATTATTATGATAAAAATATCATCCACAAAACTGCAGGCAAGAGATACGTTTACAGATTTGTTTGTGATTTACAAAATTTGTTGGGCTACACTCCTGAAGAGTTACATGCAATGGTCGATTTGAAACCAGAACATAAAGATGGCGAAGAATGAAGAAATAGAAGTCATAGAATTTTATATAAAAAACTATCAAATCTGAAATATTAAGTTTATATGTGATTGGTATAAATTTAGGCTTTAAGATAATCTCCATGACTAAGAAAGGCTATATATTGCAAAGTAGTTGATTTATTGTTCATTATCTGTTTAAATAAGGTGTGCCTTATATCGATACTGGAACTTTAAGTATAAGAAAGGACTATTTGAGCTTATATAAATAATTATATGCTATTATGTGATAATCAAAGTTCTAAACTAGAATTTTTACATACATTTAGTATGAATCAATTCAATTGGTTACTAAGATATTTTAATATTCAGCAATTCATTGAACGAATAATGATACTATTTGTTATAGCATTGATTAATTGAAATATGAATAGAGCTGACCAATTTCAAATTGGTTTATTAATATTTAGCAAAACCTAAAACTGACAAAGTAGAATTTCAAATTACATTATGCACTTTTTTGCATAAGTAAATATATACCACCTTAATTATCATCAAACATATCCTAATCAAATTGGGGAATTTCATTAATTAAGTAATAAATTACAAAGTTAATCTATAATAGATAACAAATAAATCATAATTCTTGTTTCAGATTTAATCATTTAGCAAAATTTTATTTATTACAGTCAACAACGAATAATATCATTAACATTATTCTTTACAATATTAATGAGTTCCCTATTAATGTTATAAATCATACATATTATTTATTTCCATTGATCTCGAAATCAATATATTAAGGATTGGATAAAAACTAGTTTTATCATAATATATGCAATTAAAAAATGCAACACGACAAATATATTTTCATTAATATTATATTAATGAAATAAAGTCACATTTTGTACTGCATATATTAAGTGTCATAAATGGAATGACCATTCTTTTTAAGGACGACAATAAAATAAATTAGTATTTAATTAATAAATTGATAGTCTGAATTATGAAAGATTAGATATTTTATAAAAAATGTCTTCTATAGTGGTGTATAATTAAGTTATGTTTATGTAATCTATGTAATTTTAGTTTTATCTTTGTATTTTGAGTAGCCATATTTAAACTTTATTATAACTTTATTAAACTAGGGTCAAGCAATTTACAAGTTTAAGTATTAATGTTATCAAGATATCTGCAATAGTTATTTTTGAATTGAATCAAAATATATTGATTTATTATAGAATTTATAATATGGCTTCCATTTATCTATATACCTGAATTTTTATTATATTTAAATTATATAAAAGATCATATTCTCTCTGTAGAATTATTAAGAAACGTTGTTTTTGAGAACAAAGCAATAGAATATATAAAATGTTTACGAATGTGCAATGTGGTGTGGAAAGAAGTAATCAATGCTTTACAGAATGATAGAAAATGATTATATCCAAAGATATTTAAAGTTATGATGCACACATATTCTATTTGAAAGTTATAACTTATTGTTATGAGAAGCATTGTATGGAGAGATTGTTATTTGTACATTTCTTGCTTCGTTCTAAAAGCATGAAGAATATATATCTGAAAATGTAGTGCCTTAACGAAAACTGTCAGAATTAGCATATATTTTATTCTAGAAATATGTATTTTATACAAGCTTTAAATATACCTAGTTTAATATTATATTTGGTTTAACTTATACTGTACACTGGCTTCCAACTTTCTTTTCGGCTTTAATACCTGACAGTCATAATAATATATAAAATGTTACAAAACTTACTTGAAGCTGATGATCTATGCATATTTTTTGTTTCCCTATTTATTTTGTATTTTTGGGAAAATAGTGAAATTGAATAGCACTAGCAATCTATTATCAATGTATTTACCAATACATCCTATTTGATTCAAGTTTCTTACTTTTTTTAAAGACCTACAATGGAAACAGGCATTTAATACAATATTTGCAAATATTAAAAAGTTGTACAAGACTCTTAACCTTCTATTATTGCAACAGTATTAATATTCACTACACAAATAAACTTCAATTATTAAAGCATTGTAATACTGCAAGAAATTGTCCGCCACGTGCTTGTAGCTGTCAACGTCAAAAGGGTAGCAGAAGTAACAGGGCCACATTTCAACCAATTCTGAAGATTTTTAACAATAATAAACCCCTAATATTTCACAATATACATTTATATATCCAATTCCCATACAAACTACGGCAGCTAGACCATATATAAAGAAAAAACAGTATATAAATCCGTGGATCCATGGCTTAGAAATCTTATTGGATTCCTTTTCACGCAAGAACTGTCAAACGTTTGAAGTTAGTTCCTCACGAACTGGGAACGATTTTGCATAGAGGCGCTGCATGCAATCGTTTCTATGAACCTAGAAATCTTATTGGATTCCTTTATACGCTATTATATATAATTATGATCCCGGCTTAGGAGAAATATCAATATATACATGTATATATCGCTTTATACGCCATAAGATATATAATTATGGTACTGGTTTTGAAGGAATATCAATATATACATTTATATCTCGCTTTATACGCTATTTTAAATATGATTATGGTCACGGTTTTGAAGGAATATCAATATATACATTTATATATCGCTTTATACGCCATTAGATATATAATTATGGTCCCGGCTTAGGAGAAATATCAATATATACAATCAATCGCATTGGGATTCGGCGATTCGTTTATAAGCAATTATATATAATCCGAAGCCATTTAACGATCTCACCCACCCCGTCGCTATTAAACAATTGATTGAATTTGGTACATGTCTTAACAATAATTTCACAAACCTCCCTTGTCATTTAACTTGTCAAATAAAAAACCCCAAATGCACCCTTCGGGTTCGAACCAGCCTCCTTCTGATTAGAGTCTAGTTTAGCGCTCTAACCGTTGCGGCCACGGCGACGAAGGGTTTCTGCCTGCTAACACTGGAAGGACATTCTTCGACGACTGACCATCATGATTCGAGTCAAGGTCGCTGGGGGATGATATGAAAAAATTAAATTTTCACCCAGGGGGTTGAAAGTGGGCTCATTTGATTCTGTTGGTCCTTGCGAATTTCAAGCGGGGGGTTTCAGGGGGGAAAATTTTGTCCGTTTTTCGCTCAGGAGAGCAGAAAATCGACTTTTTGTAAATTTTACGGTTTTTCTATGGGAATTTTTTGAAGAATTTTTGCGTTTTCAAGGTGACCTTGACCTTGACCTTGACCACGACAAGGTCAGCACAAAATCTCCCCAAAAATTCCCATAAAAAAACCGTAAAATTTACAAAAAGTCGATTTTCTGCTCTCCTGAGCGAAAAACGGACAAAATTTTCCCCCCTGTAACCCCCCGCTTGAAATTCGCAAGGATCCACAGAGTCGAATGAGCCCACTTTCAACCCCCTGGGTGAACATTTAATTTTTTCACATCATCCCCCTGTGACCTTGACTCATGATGGTCAGTCGTCGAAGAATGTCCTTCCAGTGTTAGCAGGCAGAAACCCTTCGTCGTCGTGGCCGCAATGGTTAGAACGCTAAACTAGACTCTAATCAGAAGGAGGCTGGTTCGAACCCGAAGGGTGCATTTGGGGTTTTTTATTTGACAAGTTAAATGGCGAGGGAGGTTTGTGAAATTATTGTTAAGACATGTACCAAATTCAATCAATTGTTTAACAGCGACGGGGTGGGTGAGATCGTTAAATGGGTTCGGTCGCAATGGCGATTGTTCTCATTTTTTGATTTCGAGTTCGAATCTCCAAGGAAATTTATTAAGTATTTTAGTTTATTTTGTCAATAAATTTTAAATAAGCATTAAAATATTGCTTGAAATATATAAATAATAGTTATAAATTATAAAAATTATAGAATTTGACACTTTTTAATTCAAAGTATTAGTATTCCTTAGTAATTAGGCATGATAAATAATTAAAAATTGATAAAAAAATTAGGGATAGTGTTGGTCAATATTTTAGTCAATTACTAAAGAATTAACAACTATATCTACATGAATTATTATATATGACCTAGCCACCTTAATTTGTATGGGAAATAAATATATAAATGTATATATTGCTTTTACCATCATTATATATTAGCTAGCTGCCTTATTATGTATGAAAATTCGATATATATATATATATATATATATATATATATATATTTCAAAGTAACTAGCAGCCCATTCGTCGAAATAAAAAAGGTATAAAGTGTAAATACTTTTATTTATACGTTTCGACACAAGATGCGTGTCATCATTCAGCAACACAGGACAAAAACACTCAACAAAAATTTATTTTAAAAATTAAACTTAATAACATATTAGAGAAAAACATTTTTTTAGAAAAAATTATGAATAACTAAAAGATTTGAAACTAATTTGACTAAAAGTTATAAAATACATAATTGTGAGACGAGAAACACGCCCATACCGAGCATCCAGACTCGACTAATATATTGAGTCGAATTTTTAAAATAAATTTTTGTTGAGTGTTTTTGTCCTGTGTTGCTGAATGATGACACGCATCTTGTGTCGAAACGTATAAATAAAAGTATTTACACTTTATACCTTTTTTATTTCGACGAATGGGCTGCTAGTTACTTTGAAATATGTTTCAACGTCGAAAAAACTATCAAGATATATATATATATATATATATATATATATATAAATATAATATATATATATATATATATATATATATATTTAGAAACCTCTTGCGCATACGCAACCTGGAATACTCCATATATAATTATAATGTATTTAATAAAATGCACATAAAGATTATAATAAAAGAATAAAATCAAGTTACATATATGTTTATTTATATAATTACAAAATTATTTAAATATAATACAAAATATTTGATGAGAATAAATAGCCTATCCGAGTATATATATATATATATATATATATATATATATATATATATATATATATATATTGATATTACTTCTAAGCCTGAACCACAATTATATATAATTGCTTATATATATTATAATATTCCAAGGCGATTGATTGTATATATTGAT